ATACAGTCCACCTTCCAAAGCTGCTGCTTTCTCTGGGGGATCTGATCTCTGCCACCTAGAGATCACTTATAATAACAGGAGATCTCCAGCCACCACCTGGAGGTTGGCAACCCTGTGTACACACACTCTCTTAAGAAACAAGAGTTGTAAAGAGCAGGGTGAAAAAGTCATGAAATACAAGAGGTACGGGTTGATATATAATTTTGTATAATTCACAGGGGTCATTTCCTGCGGGAGTGCACAGGAGCGGAGCTCCGGCAGTAAGGAGCCCAGGGGGCGGGCACATGCCCCACCCCTGCTCCCAGCAGCCCTCAGTCAGGCCATGAGGAGCAAGAAGCAGCCAGATAAGTTGCAGAGCCTCCCCCCCGGCCCGCCTTCAGGTACAAGCTCTCCCTCTTCTGTGAGGGCAGATCTGCGTGTTCCCCTCCCCCCCAGCTAGCAATCCAAAACAGTCCAGTGGCACATTTAAGACCAAATTTTATTCAGGTACAAGCTCTCCTTCCTCTGTGAGGACAGATCTGCATGTGCCCCCCCCCCCAATAGCTAGCAATTCAGAACAGTTCAGTGGAGCCTGAGCGGTGGGTGTTGCCTTCTGACACACTTCCGGTGATGTTAGGGGGTGTGGCATATGTAAATAAGTTATGCTAATAAGTTATGCTAATGAGCTCCGGCACCTCTTTTTCTACAAAATGACCCCTGAAAATTCAGATGCAGTCAAGAAAGCTACAGCAATCGTTCATAACAGCAGTAACCGGTGATAATTCAGTTTCTCTAATTTTGTGAAGCTAATTAACAGCCATCACAGCTAAGGAATCCCAAGCCCTTGTTAAGCCCATCGTAGATACTGCCGAACGTCTCGATGATTTCTAGTTCAGCATCTCCACGCTAGAGGAGAGGCCTCCTCCTTTGTCCTTTTGGTGCTGGAGCATACCAGTTTTGACCATCCTATCTGACTTTCCAGACGAAGTTAATAAAAGGCTGCAGTTTGTTTACGGAGTTAAAGGTAACATCCAATCTGAGTAAAGGCTGCTGATGTGCAAGCTAAACAATCATGTTGACAAGCAAAGTTCCCTGACCCATGATTTGGAGAAGGGTCAGCAGGCAAAGATAACTGACTCCACGGGCCTTGGGGAAAACACCATGCTATAGCTCAAGTCAATATCCGGCTCTTCCGCATTCTGATTTTCATTAACTTGTGTGTCTCTATTGATTCAGGGCTTTCCCCCCCCCCCACCTCAATTTGTTTTGCTCTCTCTAGTAGTCCCAAAGGGAGCAAAATACATGTGGAAAAGAGGGTGGGGGACCCAAAGCAAAAGGGACAAATGAGTGACAAAAATGAGAATTGTCTACCCAGACTGGCGGCAGTTCTCCAGGGTCTCAGGCAGATATCTTCTGCACCATCTGCAACCTGTTCATTTTAACTGGAGATGCCAGGGATTGATGCTCTGCCACTGAGCTATAACACCTCCCCATCATGTGCACTCTGCATCTCTCTCCATCTCCCAGTTAGGTAGGCTTTCTAGCTATCTATCTTGCTTTTCCTATCACAGTATGGATTTCTTTACCAATAAAGAATATCCTTTCTTTTCTTCATGACTCATGCAGTCTTTATTCCAAAGCAGCCTCCCCTGTTCTGTTTATACACAGCCAGTTCCTTCAAGCATCCCCTGCATCTTTTTGCCAATATCAATTACCCACCCTTCTCCAGCTGCTATTTGCCCCAAAGGGAGAGGGGGAAACATGCAAGTACTCTAGGGTTGCCACCTCTGGGTTGAGAAATTCCTGGGGATTTGGGGGTGGAGCTTAGGGAGGGACATCAACAGAGGATAATGCCATAGAGGCCACCCACCAAAGCAACTGTTCTCTTTAGGTGAACTAATCTCTCTAGTCGGGAGACTGATTGTAATTCCAGCTCTCCGGTCCCTCACCTGGAAGTTGGCAACCATAGCCCAGGTGTTGCTTGCATATTTCCTCCACAAGGCAAAGAGCAGCTGGAGGAGGAGAATGAGGTCAGGGTAATGGTGAAGAGAGAAAATGGTTAACTGACTCCCCCTCCTTACACACCTCAACCCTGACATGAAACCATTTGCAGATCTGTTTTGCATCTCTTTTGGCCCTGACACATGCACTGGGAACACTTTGGTGACATCTGCAAATATTAGAGGATTTCATAGGCTACACTGGTGCAGAGATGGAGACATTGACGGGTAATAAAATATCAATAATTAGGAACTTCATTTCTGCCCAAAATAATTGAATTGGCTCTTACCTAGCAAGTCCATTTACACATGCAAGCAGATTTGTATGCCTGTAAAGACTGTTTCGCTTTACTCTTGGAACAACAGCTCCCCAGCAGTGGGAAGTGGATTTGGAACCTCCCCTACTAATTCAATTTTTCAGAAGTGGACAGCCTCAGGAAGTTGGGTAACTGCAATCCACAGCACTTTCCTGGGGGGGGGGGACTACAAATTCACACCTTATTTTAGGATGATGAAAGTTTACAAAAGGAAACGAACAAGAATGCAAGCCCTTTATAGTCTTACAAAAATATCACATTCTGTTTAGAGAAGGAAATGTCTCAAGCATGCTCTTAGGTGACGACGGAAAAGAGAGACAAGCAATATAAACGGTGGTGTTTTTGCTGAAATAAATAAGAAACCATGTTACCAAAAGGATTCTCAGGCAGCTCCCCATCAGTGAGAGCCAAAGGTTGGGAGGGCAGGTTTTTCTGATAATGGAAGGATGCATATGTGATTTGGGCACCAGAACTTAGAGAAGTCAGCATGCTCCGGCTGAGGAGTCAGGGATGTGTGAGAATAGCCAGCCGTTTGGAGTCTGGAAGAAATAAAGAAGCCCTGTTCAGTCGCTACGACTGTGGCACTCTCACACACCGGGAGAGTGTGCTAGCACAATCCTCTGAGTATGTGCACTCACCATTTTGTATGAATAGTGTATTTTACAATGGCATTTGTGCCTACCAAATCCGGGAAATATGCATACCATCCTGCACATGGGGAAAAAGTGAGCATACATGGGATCGAGAGGATCACTTGTAGGACACTTTCCCAGTGTACAAAGCAGAAGTGCCAAATTTGTAATGACTGAAAACAGTGTGGGAGAAAAAACTATAAGTTGGCTGGAAGTGGGGAGAAGGTTCTGTCTGACATAAGACGGTGGGTCTGCTACCTTGCAGAAGTGCCTCTTCACTGAAGGGAGCAGGACCGTAGACTGTGGTGGAAAGTGCTGTCATGTCGCTACTGACTTATGGCAACCTTGAAGGATGTCTGAAGCTAGATACTAACATCAGTGGGTGGCCATTGCCTGCCTCTGCACAGCAACTGTGGACTTCCTTGGTAGTCTCCTATCCAAGTACTAACCAGGGCTGACCTAGCTTAGCTTCCAAGCTCTGACAAGAGAAGGATAGCCTGGGCTATCTAGGTAAGGGCACTGTAAAAAGGTAAAGGTAAAGGTCCCCTTGCTCGAAAGCCAGTCAAATCCGACTCTAGGATTACGGTGATCATCTCCGTTTCAAAGCAGAAGAGCCAGCGCTGTCCGAAGACGTTTCCGTGGTCATGTGGCCAGCTTGACTAAACACCAAGGCGCACGGAACGCTGTTACCTTCCCACCGAAGTGGTACCGATTTATCTACTTGCAATTTCTTGCTTTCGAACTGCTAGGTTGGCAGGAGCTGGAACTAGAGATGGGAGCTCACTCCATCATGCGGCACCCGGGTCTTGAACTGCTGAACTACTGACCTTCCACAGCCTGCAGTTCAGCGTCTTAACCACTTGAGCCACCGCAGCTCCTTAAGGGCACTGTAGAGTACACTATATGAAGGGTGCTTTGACTCTTGAAAGCTTATGTCTTGAAAATCTTTTTGGTCTCTAAGGTGCTACTGGACTCAAGCCTATGTATTACCTAGATGGGTAGCCATGTTAGTCTGTCCGTAGCAGTAGAAAAGTGCAAGAGTCCAGGAGCACCTTAAAGACTAACAAAAATTTGTGTCAGGGTATGAACTTTCGTGAGTCACTGCTCACTTCTTCAGAATGAAGGAGCAGCGACTCACGAAAGCTCTTCCCCACCACAAATTTTGATACTTTAAGGTGCTACTGGACTCTTGCTCTTTTCTATGTATCATCTGTTTGCTGTAAGTATTATCCTGCTGTCACTGCTATGCTTTTACACTTATATAATACCATTTTCCACTATGTTGAACATATAGCTAATATTTATGCGTTTCAGATTTCTTCTATTATGAAGAAGAAGAAGAAGAAGAAGAAGAGGAAGAGGTGGAGGAGGAGGAGGAGGAGGAGATTGGATTTATACCCCGCCCTTCACTACCCAAAGGAGTCTCAGAGCGGCTTACAAACTCCTTTCCCTTCCCCTCCCCACAACAGACACCCTGTGAGGTAGGCGGGGCTGAGAGAGCTCTGACAGAAACTGCTCTTTTTCAAGAATGGCTGTGCCAGAACTATGGCTTGCCCAAGGTCATCCAGCAGGTGCAAGTGGAAGAGTGGGGAATCAAACCCGGTTCTCCCAGATTAGAGTCCACGCACTTAACCAGTACACCAAACATTGCTTAGATGTCTCATCGTATTGACTGCATGTGATTTAACACTGCGCAATCCTCCTTGAGTCTCAGAGAGAAAAGTGGACTATAAAGGCGAACTATGAATAATGTAAACAAAATAAACAAATAAATATTTGCAAATCCTGTAAAGGCATCTTGAGTTTCAGGTGCGCTGTCATCAAGAGAAAACAGAGTCACTAGGGATAATGTTACACCTGGAACTTCTTACCACCTAAGGAAATGGGGATCGCATAATAATATGTTCAACAGTACGTCACAGCATTATAAATGCCTTGTAAGGATCGCTGAATGACAGACTAAGTAACTCATTAGAAGTCCTGATTAGTTTTGTACTACAGTATTTATATTATTTTGAACATGTGGCTTGGGTAGACTTCGCCTGGTCATGCAGAAAGAAAGCTCAGCTCACCTGATTCATTATCCTTCATGTGAGTTATTTTCTCAGTCTCTTCTTCATCGCTGTCACAGTTTGGAAGCTCTGGCTCCACCTGGCTTGCATCACATCCCTGTTCAGCAAAGCTCCTTAGCGCCACCAGGCGATGATGGATTGCTGCATCCAGAGAACCAATGTCTTTTGAACTTGCCTGTACAACACAGACACACACAAATAATTGCCTTATCAGAGACAATGTGACATCAATCTTACTTGCATTCTTAGGACCTAAACTGGAAGGTACATATTGGTACTGATATTATTTCCACTATATGCAACTACTTCTGACACAAGGTCAGATATATTTGTGGCCCCAAATAAAAATCTTTTGGTGTGTCATTCAATTCCGTATTGGAACATTCCATTTTTAGTCCTATATTATTAGTTGTTTATTGCCTTATATGCGCTACAGGATTTTGTAGCTTGGTGTATTTTGTACTTTGTACTATTTGACCTCTGAAGAAGGCTCTTGTGAGCTGAAATGTGTCAGGTCATACACTGTTCTTTTCTGCGCATTTGTAACTTTGAACATTTTATGAGGCTTTATTTAGGCCCCACAAGGGTTTTGTATGTCTTTGAAATAAACACTCTTTTGTCTATACTTACTGATGTATTTAACTTTTAGCCCTCAATAAGTTTTCTAAACTTCACTTGGAGGTTTTTGCTTGGTTGGTTTAGTCCCCCCCCTTTTTTGGGGGGACCCCATAGGGTTTTCAGGGCAAGAGATGAACAGAGGTAGTTTACCATTGCCTACCTCTGTTTTGCAACTGTGGACTTCCTTATTGGTCTCCCATCCAAATACTAACAAAGGTCGACCCAGCTTAGCTTCCAAGATCTGATGATATCAAGCTAGCCTGGCCCGTCCAAGTAAGGGGTATGTTTTATATAACTTTCAACAAATGTTGCACATACATTCATCCATAAGCATGTATATCCGAAAGTGTATGATCTTCCATTCCCCCTTTTTTGAGCAGGATGGATTTGCTAAATTGGAGTTGTGTATACAGATGCAGATGTGTAACATCACATACATTACCAGTTCCCCAATGTGCATACAGTGTTCCCAGGCAGTGAATATATGAACAACATATTAATCCAGTCAAACTCTTTAAGAATCAGAATCTTTGAGTGAGGTTACCTGTTTAATGTTCCCCAAACAATATTACCATGGCTGGGCAAACAGGAGAGCAGTGGTGGTCTGGGGGAGGTAGGAATCCTCACAAAATTCTTTACCACTGGATTTAATCTGTCCGCTCATTGGCTCAACATATTAAACCTGACAGTACTTTTGTGTCAGAACCCACAGCAACAATGAAATACACACTTGCAGGGAGGTTTTACTTTATTTGAAGCTATAGATGCATGGACAGGAACACTGTTTGGAATGAGGGGGAAATAAAGAGCATGGCATGTTATACTACATTCAAACCACTGAGGCCCAATTGCGGGAGTTCCCGCATGCGCCATCGGGCCTGGGAGCAAACGCTTCTAGGCAACACAAGCTATCTCCTTCCCACAATTTTCCGTGAGATCACCCAAGCAACTATTCAGCAGCAGCAACCACCTGTGGCCTTGAGAGATATAGATGTTCCGGCAGCTAAGCAATTAAGCGCATCAACAGGTCTACATATGAAAGCGAAAGCAATCAAGCGCACACAACAAGAAGAAGAAGACAACTAAACATTGGCAGCTTGCTGACAGGAGGGGGGAGGAGATGGCAGGATACACCATAGCTTGTAGGTTGTGTAGCCTGGAGGGCAATTGCTGAACCAGTGTTTCACGCTTTCCATCTCAACCACCCCAAATAAGCCAATACACATCATTATTGGATGTTGCATGACCGCAGTGGTCATTCCACCAAACTCACATGAAATGTCAAGTACATGTATTTTGGGGCAAAACAGCAAAAAAAAAAAAACCTAGAAGACAAGAGGAGCAGAATGCCCATGTACAAATAATCAGAGAAATAAGGAAGGCATTGAGCCAAGGGAATTCACTTATTCACAGGTGGGGGACTCTTGCAAGGAAGAATCAGCATTAAATAGAATTATAGAGTTGGAAGGGACCTCCAGGGTCATCTAGCCCAACCCCCTGCATAATGCAGGAAATTCACACCCCCAGTGACTTCTGTTCCATGCACAGAAGATGACAAAAACCCTCCAGGAACCCCAGCCAGACTGGCCTGGAGAAAATTTGCTTCCTGACCTTAAAGTGGCAATCAGCAGTTCCCTGAGCGTGTAAGAAAGGGCCACAAGAACTAAGCCCTGATGCAACCCTTCCTGCCCTTCCTCTCACGATCTGCCTAAGTTCACAGAATCAGCATTGCTGCTGTCAGATGGCCATCTAGCCAGTAGGAAGGAGCTGCACACTCCCATGCACTCATAATGGATTGTTTTACCCAAAGAATAGAAAATGTTCCTGGGTGTTCCCTAGTAACCACCTTGAAGGTCACAGCTCAAACCAGTTAGAAAAAGTTTGACAAATTGTAAGTCAGAGTCCTCATATAATCCACAATACTTAAATTAGCACGGTTAAATGGCCATCTTTTCTTAAACATTTCATTGGTTGACTTACTTTGGCTCATTCAGGTTTTGGAGGAGACTGTACCTTAAAAAAACAAGGCTCTTACATGTGGACTAGTGACACTTATGATGAATCCTGGAACAAACAGCCTAATTTGGAGAGGGAAATTTAAGGTCTTTTTTAATTTCTGTGTCTCACCTGTATTAGAAACACCTTGACGGAATGGTCCTCCAGATCTGTTGCTGTGATGCACAGACTCTTCCGGTTTGCTCTTTGTATAACCATTTGGCTCCAGAGTTTAGCATTCAGGATGAGTCTCATACTTCCTTGATTCCGCATGACTACAGCCAAGAGAAATTGAACATTAAAATAGGCAGTGAAGCTGAAATCTTCATTTAATGCAGTCCCACAAAATCACGGCTCCATTCCTAAGGATACATTCTTGCAGGGCTCTTTTTGTAGAAAAAGCCCAGCAGGAACTCATTAGCCAATTGGGCCACACCCCTGACACCACAGCTCATTGGCACATTAGGCCACACCCCCATGTTACCAGAAGTGTGGATATCCAGCCACACCCACCTTTTGCTTGTTATTCTGTTTACCTTGTTTGTTGTCAAAACCCAGGGCTTTTTTGCAGCAGGAACTCCTTTGCATGTTAGGCCACACACCCCTAATGTACCCAATCCTAATGAGTTTCTGCTGTTGGGTGTGGCCTATTATGCTAATGAGCCCTCAGAAAGCTAAGCAGGGTTGGTCCTAGTCAGCATTTGAAAGGCAGACCGCCAAGGAATACCAGGGTCATGACATGGAGGCAGGCAATGGCAAACCACCTCTGAACATCTCCTGCCTGGAAAACCCCATAGGCTTGGAGTAAGTCAACTACAACTTGACGCCAAAAAAAGAGAAGAAGCTAAACCAACAGCAAATAATATTCCTAAGCCATCTAAACTCATCAGCGTCTCCCATTAGCACTCATTCTAATAGCAAAGGGTCTGCCCCCCATTATGATCATATTATTTGCAAAACAAGACCACCTACAAACAGGGTTAAGGCTGGGGGGGGAGGGCGTTCCTTGGATATGCAAAAAAATGGCTTTGCAAATTAAGCAGAGAGCGGGGGGGGGAGCCATACAACCAGCCTAGCACTGATTGAACAGGCACAAGGAGGCAGGGAATATGGAAAGCTGCTGAGAGCCGGTTAAAGGAAGCAAAGGGGGAAGAAGGGCAATTGGTTTTCTCAAGCCCTTGAGAGTTCACAGAAGCCTTAAGGGAGAAGATTTTGGCAGGTGAGCCATTTCCAAATCGTTCCCACCCAGGCCGGTAGCTACAGTGGGGCATCTCAGGACCCGGCCCCACAACTTACTGCCAAGGGCCCCCCCGACTTCCCATCCAGCCCCCCCCACTTCCAATTTTTTATTTTATTTGTGGTGCTCCCTTGGGGGGGGTAAAAACCCCTTGGGGGGGGGTGCAGAGTTCCCCCGACTTATTTACCCCCCCCCCCCCGAATTTAAAAAAAATCCTGGCTATGGGCCTGTTCTCACCACCTCCCACAATTACACTTGGGCCTCCAACTCTTCATTCCTTCTAGCAGTAAACTTGATGGCTCTTTGCCTACTTCTAGTATAGCAAAACTGGAACAACCACAGAAAAGGTAGAAGAGAATTCATACTTGGGGAGTAAATTTTGAAAACAAAGGGCAAAGTTCAAACACACACCTTGATGAGCACTGAGCATGGGAACTGTCAAGAAGTCTGGAATATTGAGGACAAATAATATGAGAGAGAGAGAGAGAGCGCGCTACATATAAGTGCCTGTGAGTGACTGTGCAACCCCTGTCATCATGTCTCTTCAAATTCCACTTGAGTTACGGCCTGGTCCTGGGAACTGTGTCATTCCCCCGATCAACGGCAGAGCATCTTCTTGGCATGCAGAAGGTCCCCAGTTCAATCCCCAGCATTCCCAGTCAACCAGGACCAGGCAGTAGGTGATATGAAAGACCTCTGCCTGAGACCCTGGAGAGCTGCTGCCAGTCTGAGTAGACAATACCACCCTTGATGTAGCAATGGTCTGATTCAGTATAAGGCAGCTTCATGTGTATTTGTGTGCATATTAGTAAAGGGTGCTCCCTTTACTATTTAGGCTCCATCGCAGCACAGAAATGAGCAGAACATGCATAGAACTCACTGACAAACTGGCTTTTATATTTAGATGTGCCCTTTGTTTGAGTGGTGGGTTTTTTTAAGTTATATAATCTGCATTAACAATAGCCTATGGGAAAAAGATTAAATTAATTCTTACCCAGTCTTGACTGTAGCATCCCACACTGGCTGCTGGATGTATCATTAAGTCTCAAAGAGCCACTTCCTCTTTCAATCCAGGACATTGATGTTTTATTAAATAAGAACAGTTTGCAGTTGATCTAAGGTGTGAAAATTTAATGGAAATGGTTACATGGTATTTTTTCGGGTTTTTTAAAAAAGCTGTGTCACATTCTTCTTTTTTAAAAAAAGGAAATGATAATTGAATTATTGCAAATGCATACCAAGTGCATTCAGTGACAAAACTTGAGAGAAACTGTCGCTCAAGAGAACCCTTTCCCAGTCCTCCAGGGCTGAATCATTTTATGCAGGGCTTTTTTTGTAGAAAAAGCCCAGCAGGAACTCATTAGCATAATAGGCCACACCCAATAGCAGAATCTCATTAGCATATTAGGCCACACAATTGACAACAGATCTGATTAGCATATTAGGCCATACCCCATACCTTCCCTTAGGTTGCCTGGGTGCCCCACAACTGTGGGGAGCCCGGGCAAGCCCCCCCTTGAAGGGAACTGAGATCGAGGCAGCTCTTAAACAAAGTGATTTCATTTTATTCAGCACATAACACTAGAAAAATATACATAGAACAAGGCTGACTTATATATGATTTGAACGGACAAAACCACACCCAACAAACAGATAACAATCAATCGGAATACGGAGCTTGGAACCAATGAGACTGAGAGTGGTTCCCGCCAAAGTCAAAGGCTTCTCTGATTGGCCTATTTGTCAATCCATGTAATGCTATGTTTTAATGGAATGGTGCTTAAGCTAAATCATTGCTTTATTGACTTAAGACATAACAGGAAGGCAGTTTAAACTGCCTACCCTTGGCTTGCCCGGGCACCCTGCAGCTGAGCCGGCCCGACTCCAAGGCAGGCAGGCCGGGGAAGGCACAGGGCGGCATTTAAATGCCTCCCTGATCCTTCCAGGGCCCCCCTGGCCTGCCTGCCTTGGAGTCGCTGGGGGGGAGGGTCGCTCTCCAGGCCTTCCTTCTGTAGCCACGCACACAGAGGTTTTGGCTGTAGTGGGCATGGCCAACTCTGAAGCCAGACGGAACGCCATTCCCCTGCGTTCCTGCCCAAAAATAGCCCTGATTTTATGTGACCTTCATTGTCAGAATGTCCACACACTCTGGAGCCTCTTCACAAAGATAAATCTTTTCACATATGATTCACCGTATGAAAAAGAGCATCATGATCTGGCAAGCCTTGGAAAGAGGTTGGGTGGAGAGAGAGTGATTGACCCAAGCCAATTAAGCCAATGAGCTTCATGCCCATGGAGGGATTTGAACCCAAACTTTCCATCTCTTCGTACCATGCTCTAACCATTACATAGCCTACTCCCAAACAGTTGTTCAGCACAAATTCTGCTTTTTGAAGATGACTTTGCTTGTACTCCTCTCTGCTGTGTGCATGTCCACATGGTTTGATCTGGGCCATTAGCTTTAAGATATCCAGAAAGGTTCAAAGTCTCAGGTGTATTTCTGCTTGAGTTTTGTGAAACTGAAAATTTGTGTTATAAACTAAGTTTGATGGATTAGCTACTTGTTTCAGAGCATGTTGATTAAAAAAAAAGATTTAAAAATGTTGGCTGCATTGACTGGTGCCTATACTCACTATCTAGTTGAACTTTCTATCAGTAGAGGCTGTTGGAAATACGTGTGTTGCAAGGTCTAAATTCAGTCATTATAGGGTTAATGTGTTTACCTTGTGTGCTATTGTTTAGCCTGACCTGGAAGGGAACCTGGCACAGAGGCAATGGAGAGAAAGCCCGGGAAACTAGAGCCTATTTACTAATGATGATGATTCAGGTGATTTCCTTCTAGGGGTCAAGAAGAAAGAAGAATCTCCATTATCTATCTGTCTGTCTGTTGCTGCAAAGTAACAGCAAGGATGTAGTCTTAAGTATTTGTTGTTTTGTAGATTTTCGTGTACCCTTCCCTTTAGAAATAAAGATTTTTACACAGGAAAAAATGCCTCCTAGCCCGTGAACAAAGATTCATTGCAAACTCTGAATATCTAACACTTTTTACCAAATTTTCCAACAGAGGTTGCTGTAAGTGTTGGAATAGCTGTGTAGGGAGCAAAAGAGGGAAGCAAAAAGACTGGAGAATCCCAGCTATCGTCGATCCTCTCCTTTTTCTTTCTTTAACTTCATGAGGTATTGCTAGGGATGCCAGCCTCCAGGTGGGACCTAGGGATCCCCCAGTAATACAGCTCATCTATAGACTACAGAGATCGATTCCCCTGGAGTAAGTGGATACTTTGGAGGGTGGACTCGAAGACATTTTACCCCAGTGAGGTCCCTGTCCTTCCTTGGCTCCATCCCTAAATTTCCAGGAGTTGCCGAACCTGAAGCTGGCTACCTTACCCACCCTCCCACCCTTCCCTGCCACTGGACAGGGAGGATATGGCAACCATAGCTGGTGTGTCTGCTGCCTTGCAGAAGTGCATTGGAGGGCTGGCAACCCTAGGAACCACTCAAACCATTTTAGTTTGTGTCATTATTTCCTCTCCTCCCCCTCCACTATGTTGTCAGCCCCACTTCCTATGTAAATATAGCAGAAATGCTCCTAACAGGACTTGTAGGGGAAGACGTACCTGCAACACATTGTGTTCTGTTTCTTCTCCAGTACTAACTTCAACTTTATCTAATAAATATTGCTGTGTTGGTGTCTTAGAAGCGTAAGAGGCAGCTGATTCTACTAGTGTTGTATTCTTCACAACAACTGGTGCTGCAGGGAAATAAAGGAGGATAACAGAAAATATTAAAGTTCTTACAGGAGAAATATCTTGCAATATCAAAATCGCCCTGGCTTAATTCTGAGCCAAAGGTCCTGTCCATACGAGGCCTTTTGGGCCGGGAGCGGGATGGAACGGGGGCGGAGCAAACGGGCACGATCCCACGGCAACATCTGGGAATCGTTGCCTGCCGGTCCCTGTTCCGTCCCAAACGGCGATACCGCGCTGTAAAAAAGAACCACCTACCTAGGTGGTTGTATCCCTTCCAGCGCCGCAAGCCGGGCCGTGGGATCCGGCGGCGCGTCCTTGCGCCACCACATCCCAGCCCCCGGCCGTATTGCGCATGCTCGAGGCGTCTCAAGTTCGATGCGGCTCTGCTTAGCCGCGTTTCAGCCGTCCCGTGTGGCAGCAGCCAGAGGTAGACTGAAAAGTTTAATAAAAAGCTAGCTCAGGCACATATATAATACCCAACGTGGTCCTGAAATACGATAGATATTGAAAAATTAATGAGGTTTGGGGGACTTCAATGGAGCTTTTCAGCCAAAGATTAACTGTTTACCATATTTTTATGCGTTCCAGACATCAAACTAGATTCTCCCCTCCTCCCTTTTATCCTTACAAGAACCCTGTGAGCTAAGTTAGGCTGAGCCAGTTTGGTGCAGTGGTTAAGTGCGCGGACTCTACTCTGAGAGAACCAGGTTTGATTCCCCATTCCTCCACATGCAGCTGCTGGTGTGACCTTGGGTCAATCAATAACCCAAACAAGAAAAATAGACCTCCCAGTACTAAGACAAAGAACAAGCAACAAACTGGGGGAAAGTGGTAGAAAACCCACTAAAACACTTAGATATGTACGTAAATACAGTCACTTATATATTTAGATACTATATCAAAATTTACAAAATTTATATGCAAGGCATATTAGCCATAACAATATGATATCTCAGTGCTATATAATAGAACAATACAAATTGCAATGTTGCTAGCCAGAACAATCATGAGAATATTGCTTAACATGTTAAGTACAATTGTATGAAATATATGATTGTTTGTTAATTAACTCTGTTTTGCAGTTGTTCTGCTTCTGATGAAGTTTTGACGTGAAACCAAGCGAAAGCCGGCTGCTCTGTAAACTTGAAACTTGAACTCAACTTGAAACTTGAACTTGTAAAAAACTTACCTGTAATGGATTAGCAATATTCTTTTCCCCAGTTTGTTGCTTCTTCTGTGACCTTGGGTCAGTCATAAATTCTTTCAGAGCTGTTCTCTCAAGGGCAGTTCTCGAGAGAGCTCTCTCAGCCCCACCTACCTCACAGGGTGTCTGTTGTGGGGAGGGGAAGGGAAAGGAGTTTGTAAGCCACTCTGAGACTCCGAGTGAAGGGCGGGGTATAAATCCAATCTCCTCCTCCTCCTCCTCCTTCATATGGCCAACCCAGTGCTGAGCTTCATGCCTTGCTGGGGATCTGAACCTCAGTCTTCCCAGTCCTAGACAGGCACTTTAATCACTATACTGCATTGGTTTTCAGATTTTGAATACTGGTGACAATGACCTTATTAATTTAGAAAAGTTAACGAGCTGCCTCTCCAGAGTGCTGATCAAGGCAGTTCGCCCAGTAAAAACAGATACAGAAAAACTATTAAAAACAATAACCACACTATACTATAATAAAAGACATTGTCCTAAAGAAACGAATAGGTAAGACAGTGAAATGTATGGTGGTGGAAAGTGCTGTCAAGTCACAGCTGCTGACGTACGGCAACCCCGAAGGGTTTTCAAGGCAAGAGACTTCAGAGCTGGTCTGCCATTGCCTGCTTCTGCGTTGCAACCCTGGTATTCCTTGGAGGTCTCCAAATACTGGCCAGGGCCGATCCTTCAAGATCTCACTAGCCTGGGCCATCCAGGTCTGGGCAGTGAAATCTATACTTTTTGCTAAACTGGAACACCTACTTGTCCATGGAGAACTGGTAGTAAAATCTGTTGCGAATGAGGCTTCTTCTTCACTGTTCTGTGACTCACTTGCAGAATGAAGTTCCGGAAGTTGCTCAGGCCTCTAAGAAAATTGCAGAAAGACATTACAACTGAAGAAATGGAAAGAGAGACGCTGAAGCATGTCAAACATGTACAATTAAAAGAAAACAAGAATAAGTTGCACTGCAGGATACCCAATGGGGATGAAAGATGGGTGATATACTTTGGTTTTCTTATTTTAATTGATCAGGTTAACACGCAGCTCTTGTAACTATCCTGTAAACACAATATACCAGCACAGTCCGGTGGGAAGTTCTTCTGTATATTGACATGACGGAGGTTATGCACAGGAGAAAGTCCCATTGAATTATGCCTTATGGAAACAGAATTTGGTGTCATTTTAATCAAATTGTAAAATGTATTTTTGTCATGCTGTGGCATTAAGGTTGCAAACTGAACAGGGCGGGGGAGAGAGAGAACATCCCGTCCTTTAAATAAGGGTGGACATAGGCAGTTGAATCTTTTCAAGGCACAAAGTTAAGTAACAATGGCTGATCATTGCTGGAAGATCAAACTGATATTAAGGGACAGCTTAAAGGGACTGGTTTGAAAACTGGCACCCCTATATGGCATACAATTCAATGCATGAAAATGCAAGCCATGAAGAACAGTCCTTTTTGAAACAGGGACTGAAAGTTAAAATCATAGGAGTTTTTTTTTTGAAATGTACAGGATGGTAAATAACTGTGACAAAATCAGAACTTGACATCAGAGTGTCTCTGCGCAGAGCCCCTGATAACAGTTATTCTCATAGTTTTTACACCAGATGAATGATATTATCACCTGCTAATTGCTGCAGATCAGTGGCTGTTGAAATTTATTTATTTATGTTATTTATAGTGCTCCTTTTTCACTGAGACTCAAGGCAGATTATATGATATAAATAGATGCAGTAAATAGAATGGGACATGATCTAATAAACAGTGTAATAGGACTAAGATTACCCAAATCAGAAACAATGTTCTAGCCGAAGGTTGGCAATTTTACCTACAATTGCACTTTTAAGCCAAATTTGGTTCAGATAGTATTTTATAAAAACTGGAGTTGCGTACAATTAGGACTCAGAAAAGCAGCCACTTTTGAATTAACCATTTAACATCCTTACAAGTAAGTATATCACAACTTCCAGCACAGTAGCTAAAATTATAGAATTATATTGTTTAAAAAAATCAGGCTTGTTGAAAAACGTGTTTGCAAAATTAGGGCAATTTGTATTGCTTCGTAGAGGTTATAAATTAATGTGGGGTTTTTTGTTCCAAAATGAGATAAAAAAACGTATTTACCAAAACTCTTTCCACTATATTTTCTCCAAACACAAAGTTAAGATGTTTTTCATTTGCAGGCATTTTGCTTTCAGCTAGCAGGTTGCTAAAATAAAACAATAAGGGGAAAAAGTGAACCCATTTAAGATTTTGAAAAATAAGTAATAGAAATATACAGGTGGAGATGGATGGTTTCCATGAATACAAGTGCAGTAGTCATAACCACTCTCCCTCTTTTGAACCCCAAGAGAACTTTTAAGCCCCTGTGGGTACCCAATGATGGAAAAAGTAGGGTACAAATATATAAATAAATAAGAAATAACCACAGTGGTGGTACAAGGTGATGCTGAAGTGTTATTACAATGTAAACTTCAGTATATTCAAGAGTAAGCCTCTGACACTTGTTATAAGCCTGATCTTCCTTGTAAAAATCCCCCCATATAGTCAACTGGCAACCCCAGATAAAGACATTCAAAGGAGGAGATTCTAGAAGTGAACAGTGGTCACCAACATGGTGTCAGTAGGCACCATGGTGCCCACTGGAAACATTTCCTGGTGCCTGCCAAGGTTTTTAGAAAGTGGGCATGGACAGGTGAGTCTCTTGCCCAGCAGGGCTTCTGATCAACCACTGGGAATCTGATTGGCTGAGCAGATTAAAGTAATGGCTGGCACCAAAGTCTTGCTTTTATTCTCTTCCTTCTCTGTCCTAATGTATTTTTAAAAATCACTCCTCTTGTCCCCTGCAATTGGACTTCCTCTCTGTGTGTATATGAAATCATTTTGTGATTGGCTCCGCCTCCCTCAGCGGCCATGGTTGGTTGCGCCTACCACCCTCTGTCAGAATTCCAAAGGTGCCCATAGGGTCAAAAAGGCTGGGGGTCCCTGTTTTAGAACACTGATCCAACTTTTATTTCTTTCAGAGACAAACAAAGATAATGGGTTTCCAGTTAACTTACTCTGTTGTTTCAGGGCCTGAAAGCTGTAGAGAGAAAAATGCGTTTTCTGAGCAGTTTCTGAGGGAGCAAGTCTCTTCAGATACCTAAGAACAATTAATCAGATCAACAGGATTTATTTCTCTATCTCTTAAAAAACCCCAAAACCCACATAATTGCTAGAAATGTAAATCACGGTTATTTCAAAACTGCGGTATTCTGACCGAACAGAATGCTATAGAAAAGTAAACCACAGTTGTCTGCAACATCATCAAAACATACCTACACAAGCAGGCCTCTTATTTTAATGGAACTATTTTCTCAAGGAGAAGAAAGCCTAGGGAAAATGCTCTTTTTCAGGCAGAGCTTTTCTTCCTATAATAGTTGCATCTCCAACAGAAATTCAAACAGTGAAGCTTTCCCTATTAATGTACCCACATGCTGAAGGAAAAGGCTTTACCTGTTGCATTTCTTCTAGTGGTGCAAAGATTAAAGGCACAGAAGAAAAGATGACAACCCTAGAAGTAGTAAGAACTCCTCAGCTAACATTTAAAGATGCCTGTTAAATTGCTGGCCCTGCTGATACTGTACCTTTAACAGTAGCCTAAGACATAGAAATACAGCGGTCGAAGCATTCCCTGGCAGCTAAATAAGGTGAGAAAAATGTCTCCTGCTTCATTTCTGCATGTCAGGCACAGACTACATAAAATGGCCACCCACTCCCTCAAAGTCATTCTCTCTAGGTCAAACTAGACAAACCATTAAAGGTTTGTAGTGTCCCAGCTCTTTTTTAAAAAAATATTTATTTATTGCATACATATTAAAACAAGATACAATACAAGAATCTATGAAACACAACATGAATTATACAGTACATGGCTTGCAACACAAAAAATTATGACAACTGCAATATTTGCACAATTTTTGTGTAGTTCCGCAGTATTTTATTACTGTTGTTTTCCTTTTCTCATTTCCTCCCAGCTCTTTAAACTCCTATAAATAGCACCTATAGCCCTGTTCCAAAATTGTTTGGGCTGCAGTTTCAGTTACCAGCCTCCAGGTGGGGTCTGAAGTTGTCCCAAAATCTCTGGAGGAGAGAAATCAATTCCCCTGGAGGAAAGGGTAACTTTGAAGGGTGGACTCTGTGTTATATCATAGATTCTAGAAGAAACCTAAGTCCTAGAGTGAGCCCCCTTTCCAACTCCGCCCCCAGGCTCGGCCTCAAATTTAGAGGAATTTCCCAATCTGGAGTGGGCAACCCTAGGAAAGGTAAAGAAGGAAAGGCTAACCCCTGGTTCTTGTATCATTTTCCTGATGTAAATTGGTGTCCTCTCCTGAATTACTATATGCTTTGAAACTAGGGTTGCCAACTCTGGGTTGGGAAATTTCTGGAGATTTGGGGGTAGAGGGTGGGGTTTGCGGACGGGAGGTATCTCAGTAGGGTATAATGCCATGGAGTCCACCCTCCAAAGCAGCCATATTCTCCAGGGGAACTCATCTGTTGTCTGGAGATTAGCTGTAATTCCAGGAGATCTCCTGGCCCCACCTGGAGGCCCAAAGAGAAATGTGTCCATTTCCCTAGTGGCGCACACACAACAGGGGGAAGGGTGATATATATCATGAAAAAAGCAAGGGGAAAGCCATGGCGCCAATCCAGTTTAGGGGTTAACACTTTAAAGTTATGAGAGATCCAGTCATGATTTTCCAATATTTTGTCTAATCAAGCCCTCAGAAATATTTATTTAGAAGTATGAACAACTGATCAACAGAACGTCTTTTCAGGAAAATATGCCAAGGATTCCACAATAAGCAAATGACTTAAAAATGTACATCTTTACTATCCAAGTCATTCCTAACATAATTAAATATGTTCCCAACAGGCTGACCAGAGGAGGGAAGAGATCTTTTATAATTGTATGGAAGGCACATTTTCAGCAAATGCAGCTAATTTATGCTGTAGTAATATGTATGTTAAAAATTGTCCCATAAGTGTTACGAGAGCAACATGTTCTTTTTATCATTCATAGATATCCAAGAAACCAATAACTCATTGAGAAAGCAAGGGTATGAAATCCCATTCCATAAAATATTCTCATTTGTGATGTGCAAAACCAGCAACTCATAGTTCATATTTACACTGCATTTACCTCATAGTTCATATTTACACTGCATTTACCTCAGAGATTGCTTTATGTTCATCCTCCAGAACATTTTCAGCACCTATATTCATAACTTCTCTACACAAAGGAGTTTGTGGAGGCTGTAAAACGGCGGGCCTTAAAACAACCCGTTGTACAGTTGGTGATGAAAGACCTTGAAAAACAGACATGGAGGTGATTTCATTTACTACCTATTGTACATTCTTCTTTTACAAGTGTTTCATAACACCATTCTTGTTTTTATGGAACAAGCTAAAACTAGCCTTTCATCATGGTATGCAGGGGTCATTTCGTAGAAAAAGAGCTAGGGGGACTCATTAGCATAACTCATTAGCATATGCCACACCCCCTGACATCACCGGAAGTGTGTCCTCCCCACAGCCGGCGGCGACCTCCAGTGGGCACCAGCAGGGAGCTCCAGGCCCCGCCCTCCCGCACATCACCCGGGGGGATGACGTCCCCCCGCGTCCCCCCCCAAATGACCCCTGATGGTATGGATGGCAACAAGATTTCTGGATTTTTTACACCTGGAATAGTGCTGTTAAGTCATCTTAGGGCCTTCCAAATTTACATGCTGTGCAGTAGAGGTGGGGGGGAATGCAAAATGTTGGAAATTTTGGCCTTAACATTTTACAACCAACATTTCATGAATGAAAAACTGGTTGCTACTGCACATCCTTTCAAATCTCATTAAATACTGGCTACTGTTATTTATGTTTATTTATTTAATTCATTTATACCCCACCTTTCTCCCCAGTGAGGACCTAAAGTGGCTTACACCATTTTCCTCTCCTCCATTTTATCCTCACTACAACCCAGTGAGGTAGGTCAGGTTGAGAGACTGTGACTGCCCAGGGTCATCCAGCAAGCTTCCATGGCACAAGATATTAGTCTGACACTCTTAACCACTACACCACAATAGCTCTCACAGGTAAGCTGGCAATATTATCAGATATTGATTGCTACTTCACATCTGTTGGTAAATAACTATTACTACAAGGTGCCTATCAAATATTGTCAAACTTTGACCATTATATCAGATTCCCCCCTCCCTCCAGATTTTGTCTTCTACTGAATGCAAGCAGTCAGACAATATAAAGTATTGGACTCTAATGGAACATGTCTCTGGATATCAAATGATAATGCAAAACAAAATATTCTGACAGTATTCAGCTCAGAAATTCATAGAGAAGAATTCTGAGGACAATGTTTTGGAATAATTTTGTTCCGTCTGTACTGTGAATACTCTTATACCAACCTAGAATGAAAAGATGATATATTCGGCTTCTGTATAACAAAAGGGCATAGCCATGCTAAGAGATAAAATGATTTTTTACAGAGAATGGTCATGGTGTAGAAGCAGCCAGTGTAGAGTGAATAGAGTCTGAGTTTGCAGGAATCATCTTCTTCCTGCTATTATAACTCTATAATCTGCTAAAAAAAATATCTTCACTATTTTGCATGCTAATTTAACAAGACACCCCTATGTATACAACTATATGTAATTCCATTTATTTATTTATTTGATTTATATCCCACCCTCCCCGCCGAGGCAGGCTCAGGGCGTCTGATGAAGTGTGTGTGCACACGAATATTTATATTTATTTATTTATTTATTTATAAATTCAATTTATAGCCCGCCCTCCCCACTCACACCTTGAATAAAACTTTGTTGGTCTTAAAGGTGCCACTGGACTCTAACTTTGTTCTATGGACATCTATCACAGAAAGAGCGCATGACTGGAATAGCTTGGTAAGAACTTCTCAATCTTTTTTTGTTTCCCCTTCTTTGTAAATTTTCTTCACTTTCCATTGTGTGTGCGCGTATCTGTATTTTCTGCTGTCTTGTGACAAATATGCTTACCTTTTTCTGTGGCGTTCACTTCAGGGCCCTTATGCAACAATGTTGATGTCATGAATATGTTGTTCTTCTTTACTACAAAAAACAAATGTTTATCCAAACGTATTCAGTAAAATCAATTTTATAATTCATCATATACTTAACATCCTAAGGTGTAAATCTGAAATTTCTCTTAGCAAAGTGGGGTTTTTAAAAATCATTTAGCCATATTAGGTTTGCAGCAGCAAAATTAAAACAGCTGTACCTTAAAGCCTAACAAACTTTTGTTTTTAAAGACAGTGGGATGGGTCCAGTGGAAGATTTCTGCGCATGCTAGAGCCATCGCACAAACGGAAATGTACTATAAAGTCGGTGCTGGCAGCTTACGCAAACTTAAACATATTGTCCCCCAACTTGCATTTCTGCTCAGGCAAGGTTTTGTGCAAGTAATTACTTGAAGAATGGGATTAACAGGTATTACAGTACAGTATAGCCCACCCACTGAAGAACTGGGAGCTTGCCAGCTGCACATATTGGGAGCACATTACACACGGTTGCTGTCTTGTGTGAACAGGGCAATGCAATGCTGGGCATTTCATCTTAGCTCGGTGACAAAACCATCGATCCCAGCAACCTCATTACATTGTAATGGCCAGAATTGATATCTCCTAAACACAGGATTATTGAATAAAAGGTATGACCTGGAGACCCAGATTATACAGTGCTGGAGACCCAAAGACGTAACAGGACCATTTCTGATATAATGACATGCTCCCCTTTGCTTGCAAATCAGGAATAGGGTACTCACTAAGGTTCATGATATTGTGTTCACACAGCAGTGATGGGTATGTTCAAAACAACATCCATTCAGGGATGGGAACAACTGGTTTTAGGACAAGGGAGCTCATGCAATCGATAATTCTAGCTAACAAACAGTAATAAGAAGCAGGGGCTCCAGCCTGTGAGACGAAATATAGGAGGGAGAGGACAGACTGTTCCACTGTATGAATGGAACAGAACGTCTACAGAGGGCATACATAAGCCTATTGTTTCTGCAAGTGGAACGGTCCTAAGTAGGGTTGCCAACAGTGTTCCCTCTGAGTTAGTGTGAGCTAGCCCACAGTTTTTTTAGCCTCTGGCTCCAGAGCAAACTAATTTATGCAAAAGCCAAATCGCTTCCTCACAACTTTAATGCCAGTAGCTCACAAAGTAGAATTTTTTCTCACAAGACTCCACAGCTTAGAGGGAGCATTGGTTGCCAACTCTGCATTGGGAAATTCCTGCAGATTTGGGAGTGGAATTTAGGGAGGGTGGAGCTTGGAGAAGGGAGGGAGCTCAATAAGGATGGGCACCTACTGCATTTTGTGGTTCGGTTCATAGCTGAACCTTGAACCAAACCATGAACCTACATAAACTGATATGCCGGTTCATGAACCGAACTGGTTCGTATATGTTTATGAGCCATTTAAAGTTTAAATGCCTGCTTTCTGCTCCCCATGAAAGCAGCAGGGAATAAACCCTCTCGTTCTATTCCCCCACCGCTTCAAAGTGGTGGGGAGCAAAACCAGAGGGTTAAATGGCTCCATTAACAAAATGAATAGGACCAAAGACTCCAACGAAGAACAAAGCTCCTCAGTACAAATATTTTCAAATGAAACGATACACACTTCCCAGGTAAAATCGTGTTTCAAGTAGCTTCTTCAAGTCAAAGAGGAAATTTCTAAAGGAACCCATCTTTCAATCTGTCTACATGTAGCAAACAAGCTTATCTCCGTTTCCATCACTGAAGCTAAGTGATGCATATGACATAGCGCTTGGATAATTTACAACTTGTGGAGAAGGTCCTTTGTATTTGCATTTATTTTGTACATGGAAAGGATTTGATGTTGTACAGAATGCTGCATTTAAGTTTATTGTTCTGTATACTATTTCTTTAAATCCTGATTTCTTAATGCCTGCAAACACATTAATACGGAAGCTGTCACCACCAGCTTTTGGAAGAGTTTAAGTGAATACTTCAAACATAGTTTACATAGTAAAGTTGGCTTAGAATAATACTGAAGACATTGAGATTAATATAATAATAATATTTTTAATGCATATCAGTTTGTTTACAGTTTTGACAGTTTGTTCTTGACTTTTCTTTCTTGGCACAGCCTCATATGCTGAGAGTCCCCCTTCAGTTTTACCACCTGGAGGTTAGCAACTATAGGCTAAATGAGTTTGCATTTCCTTTCATAAATCACTGAATCTAACACACTGGAAAGATCCAATCACAGATCTCCGCTCACCTCATTTGTTTTTGCTTCAAGAAAGATAATTGCATTCCACAGTTTGCGTGCATGTATATACACACACACAATTTATTTTATACTAGTATCATCTCTATATGTTTTCAAGTATCATTTCTGTTCAACAAACTTTTTCCTTTAAAAAAAACTAATACAAAGATTTGTTAACAGAAGTGAATGTGGGGAAAGCGTGGACACCCCATGGAGCATTTCCTCTTTCAAATTGCTTTCAGGTCTCTAAGGGGGAAGATGAATTTAACATCTTAAACTGACATAGCATGATCTTGGAACAGATTTAACTCAAACAGTTTCTAAATATTATTTCAGCACAACACACAAGCAAGTATATAGGCCCACAAGTATTTTAAAAAAACTTACAGAACCATCTACAAAACAAGTAAAAAAGCCATCTCTAAACCAGTCTTGATTGCTGCCAAAGAAAATTATGCTACTTTTCCTCCAACAAGACATGTCTTTGTTCTCTAGTAAAGAATCAGTTTTCTGCTAGCTTGACCAAAAGTCAAAAGGAAGTAGAGTCGAAGGGGAGGGGGGATTTATTTTTGGCCTTGCTGTGAATAGGGCAAAAATATCTTTCACCAGATCAGTTCCACAAGTGCAGTGCCTCAGTTTTCATGGCATAATTTCTGTAACGGCTCTTAAGGACATTAGAGGACATTTGCGAAGGGTAGGTTCCTTTTTGAGAGTACATTTTGCTCATCGGATATCCCCATGCAGGGCACTGAAGCACCTCTTAGATCCTGCAGAATAATTGAGTCTATTTTTAAATCACACTTAGAGACAACTGCTGATTTAAGTCTGGATCAAGAATATGAAAAATAACTGGCATCCTATGATATCAGAAGAGCCCTACTGGAACACACTAAAGTCCATCTAGACCAGAATTGTGTTTCCCACAGTGGTCAAGCAGATGCCTTGGTATGTCTTGTGGGATTTTGATAAAAGATACCCACAATGACCATTCAAATATTGTTCAGAAAAAAATATTATTCAAGCCATTTTATACCCATACAGGCTAAGAAAGATGTCAGATTTGCTAAGCTTCCTGTTAATACAATAAAGCCCATTGACACATTCTAATTCAGTAGTTTCACTGCCAGTGGATTTAGTGACAGCCACTAGTTTAGTTGGCATTAAAAAGGGATTAGACAAGTTCATGGAGGATGTACTTTCTCACCTGCATAGGTTTTACATTCTCCTTACAAACACATTTTTTTAAAGTTGATTTAAGCTTAATGTGTGATGCCCTTTGAGGTTTCAGAATACCAGCAAAAATTTCCTTTCCTGGCCCATACATTCCAGAGAGACAAGTCCAGAATTCTGGAATTATTCATGTTCCATTATTCCCTATGGTAAAATTGAGGCGACTGGGTGGGGGGGAGAGACTGGAGTGGCTGGTTTTCAACTAAATAACACCAAAATAGTAAGTTATCTAGTACTGCCTGTCCACTAAAGTCCTCCCAGATTTCAAGCAAATTGGACCAATGTGTCCAATTCTATAGGCTCCCGAATAAGGGCCCCCCAGCCATCCTACTTCTCTGCATTGTTTCTTATGGTTGTTTTTTTAAGGCAATAGCCAAACACACAAGAGCAACAAATGGGCAAAATCCTCCACAAGCAAACAGAACCAGTAAGCCCAACAGAGCCAATGTCAAATAAGAGAATCCCACAGAATCAATGTCAAACTAGAGAATCTAAGCTAAACTAACCTTGTGATTTTCAAAAAATACCTAGGTCCTTGAACTACAGTTAACTGTTGAAACTTAACAGACATTTTCTTCAGAACCTGCTGCAACAAAATAAAATTTTAAAAACCAATAGGAACACCCCCAAACTCCACAAAAGCACTCCACCCAAAAAACATAAAGTTCTTTAAAACAACTATAGAAAAACTGTAGTAAAACTGGAACCAGAAGAAAGCAAGAAGGCTAAGTTTTTAAATCCATAAAAACATGGAACCTCAAGCACAAACAATTTAAAAATTAAAAACCTTTTCGGAAACAGAGAAAATACAAAGCAGTTCTAAAACAAACCCAAAGAACAGCTCAAAAACAGCACACACACAAAAACAACCAAGGAAAACTATTTTAAAAGAACCAGAAAGGGAGGAGCTCCCCCCAACCCACCCAGGAAAACTAAATATACAAAAAACTTGAAATAATATTTTAGAGCAGAATATGAATCAGAATAAATAAACAAATAAATTGAATGAGCGATTTAGAGAAACAGTCCTGAAGATGTCCAGCAGGCAGGCACAGAGAAAGAAGGACAACCAGCACTCCAAGGCAGATAGCAGAGCAGCTGCAGCAGCACTCCAAAAGATCTGGCCATGACATGGAGACCAGCTGCATACCTTTTATCCTATTTGCCCATGCTCAGACAGCCATGGAGGGATCAGACAAGCATCACGATGGGGAAGACAGTTAATGTTCCCTCTAAGGTCTGTTCCCGTTGTGTAGGAGGGCTCCCACCCCCCTCCCTCCTGTTGCCCAGGCATCCCGTGAACTCAAAGAAAAGCGTAAGAAAAACAGAACAGAGCTGCCCCAAATATTCTCATATATCAGTATCCTGAAAAATCCCAAATACTGTCTTGATACCCAGATATACAATAAAAAATGGTAAGGTATTCTGACCAGATATATTCAAATGCACATCCCTAAAGGTCAGCATTGTCCAATCTTGACTGGCAGCAATACCCTAGTGTCCTGGGACAATGTCTTCACATTGCCTCCTTACTTGATTGTAACTGGACATGCTGAGGATAGAACCTAAGATCTTCTACATGCAAAGCAAATGATTTTCAACTGAGTCCCTTCTGCCAACTTGTCGAAAGAGCTGTCAGCAGGCTTGAAGAAAAATGCCCTGTCCTTTAATGGGAGCTTAATGGGATGTTATGTGTCAGCTGACTTTATTTACCTAAAGCTTCAGCTATGCATTGCCTCTGTTGATTTAAATATTCAGTATTTACTCAATTTCTAATTTACCTGGTGAAGATGGTGGGAATGTTGGCAGGATGGTAAATGAAGATGATCTCATTCGTTTTTGGGAGAGTGCTGTTTCTGAAAATGAAGAAAGCAAGCTGCAATTTCTTTTCCCAAGAGCACCTTACATTTTTAAAGATTTAATTAATATAATTATGTGGGGGTGGAAAGTGACGTCAAGTCTCAGCCAATTTATGGCAGTCCCATAGGGTTTTCAAGGTAAGAGATGTCCAGAGGTGGTTTGCCATTGTCTGCCTCTGCATAGTGACCCTGGTATTCCTTGGTGGTCTCCTATCCAAATACTAACCAGGGCTGATCCTGCTTAGCTTCTGAGATCTGATGAGATACAGTTAGCCTGGGTCATCCAGGTCAGGGCAAATGTAATTATACCAGGATACAAATATAATGATACCAGTATCTTTGTTCTACAGCAAAACACCCCCAGATGTTAACTAAATATTAAGGCATTTGTTTGTTATTCTGCAATTACTTTTGTTTTTCAGTTGCACAGTCGAGTCCGACTCTTTGCGACCCCATGGACCACATCACGCCAGGCCCTCCTGTTTTCCGTCGAGCTCCGGAGTTTGCTTAATTTCATGTTCGTTGCCTCGATAACACTATCTAACCATCTCATCCTTTGCTGTCCCCTTCTTCTTTGGCCTTCAGTCTTTCCCAGTATCCGGGTCTTGTCCAGTGAGTGCTCCCTTCTCATTTGGTGGCCAAATTACTACCACATAGAAACTCACCATCCACCTGGGCTGTGCTTAAATTCTTTGTCATGAATAAGAATATGTTTGTTTTAAAACATTTTAACCTTACATCTCACCAAGAACTGGTTGCTAGAGTGGCTTACATTATATTAAAAACATTTAAACTTAATCAAAATAAAAACAAATAGTTCAGTCTTTAATTCCTACTGAGTTCAGCGAATGCCAGCTTTTCTAAGAGCCAGACTACACATAATGGCAGCCACAGGTCCAACCGATGGCCACTGACACCATTTTAAAAATTGCTGCTAGAGCCCTCACTTTGGAGGTACCAAGCATTCTGGTCCCCCCACCTGTACCTATCAAGAGCTGAAATAGCATGGGGGCCCATAGCCACCATAATGTATAATTCAGCTCTTAGCCTTACTGGGTCAGGATGAAGTTTATCCTGACATACAGCAGCACAACGGAATAAAAATATTAAGTCATACCTTCGTAAGATGGGGAGTAGGATGTTTGAAAAGAAAATGAGGAAGCTCTTGCCCTTTTTCGGGAACAATCCATGAAAACTGTAAGGGGGGAGGGAAATCATAGCATGTCATTATACATCACAATGTATTCATGTCAGCAATACATACAAATGACGGCAAACAAAACAGTTCCAACTGTAAACTAGAAATACACCAAGCTCTGCTAACTTATGTTTGCTTTTTACCTGTCTTATGATTGTCAGGGCTAATCAAGGGATTCCCCCCCCCCAAAAAAAAAGAGGTTGTCCTAGGACATCCAGCTTGAACAAAGCTTTAGATCATTGTTTTGGTGACTGATGGAAATTACTGTAACCTGTGGGGTGTAAGAGACTAGATGTGGTTACAGCCTCATGCCATGGCCTGTCTTGCATACTTAAGAAACTTGTATTGATTTGTCCATTGGAGAGTTCTGGGCAGAGGGGAACTGCTTCTCTGTGGAGAGTCTTGTGTTGGTGTAGAAAGGAAACAGACTGGGAAGCTGAGCTACCTTCCTGACAAGTAGTGTCATACAAAAATGGAACATATTTAATGACACTGGCAATTCTCCTTGGAAAAACAAGAAACGTGTCTCTTGCCTTATTAGTTAATATTATGAGATAGTAATCATAGGTTTTATCTATTATGAATTTACTTGGATGTATGCCCTCTTGACAGTCCCGCCAATCAAAGAAGCTCATCTGGCGGGCACATGAAAGAGGGCCTTTTCAGTGACAGCCCCATGATTATGGAACAAATATGGGTTAAAAAAATGATTACCATTTTCAGTTTTGCATTCATAGTCTTCTGCAGGCCTCTGGACAAAAAGAAGCAATAGTTAATAGATGCCCAAAAGTTTCCAGGTGGCAATTGTTTCTAGGGGTTCTCTGTTGCTGAATATCACCCATAAGGTCTGGGACTACAATGGAGAGTACCCATATTTCAAACCACCTCCAGCTTCAAAGCAGAACACAAGCTGAGATGTCCCTCCTCTGCAAGTATAATCAAACCTCCTAATTCTTCAGGTCAGTGGAAACCCCCTCCCATATAATTCCTATTTTTATACTGCCGATATTAGTTGGGGAATAGTCCTTCCAAACTTAAACTGAAGAACGCTTCCAGCAATTTCAGAAGTTCTTGGTGAAACGCACTATAACCCTAATTTTTAAATTTCTCTATGTTTGGAGCAGCAGAATGAAGTTTCAGTGCAATACCTTGCAAGGTCGGTCTTTCTTCTTGAAAACAAATATGGGCTGTGCAATCAATGATTTGTCTAGAGGAAGAAGAAAACTTGATATTAAAAAGTGTGCAATTGGGGAGGGCCTTTCCCAAATCCTGAGGGGAGAAATGGTGAAAATCAGTGCAAATTTATATATGAACACCAGCACCTCCTTTCTTTCAAAAACAAAAGGCACTTTTAAAAGGAACATAGAACACACTACTGTAGTTTGTAATTTCTAGGATTTTCATAGGGTTGCCAGCTCCAGAATGGTAAATTTGTAGAGATTTGTGAGGTGGACCGTGGAGAGGCTGGGATTCGGGGAGGGGGATTTCCCACCGAAGCAGCCATTTTATCCAGGGGGACTGATCCATGTAGCCTGGAGATCAGCTATAAATACAGGAGATCTCCAGGCCCAACCTGGAGGCTGGCAACAGTATATTTTAAGCTTTTCATTTCTATGTGACTTGCCCTTATATGTTTGTTAGGAAAAGGGCCTTTTTTCCTGGCCAGAATAAATTGGGTTCAGTCCAATTACTTTTTTCCGCTGCTGCAGAGGAATGAATTTTGTTTTGATAAGGAAGAAGAAGAATATGGAGCAGAGGTCCATCAGTGGCTATTAGCCACAAGGTATAGATAGGGACTCTGGGGCAAGTGATGCTCTGTCATCTTGGTGGTTGGGGGGGTCAACAGTGGGAGGGTTTCTAATGTCCTGGCCCCACTGGTGGACCTCCTGATGGCACTGGTATTTCTGGCCACTGTGTGATACAGAGTGTTGGACTGGATGGGCCTTTGGCCTGATCCAACATTGGCATCTCTTATGTTCTTAAGAAGATTCCTTCCATCACAGCAATTCAGAAAGATACTGTACTAGCAGCATTACAGGATGACTAGCGTTTTCAAGGGTTTATTGTTGATGATCAATAATGGAGGCTTTATAAATGATGCATTGTGCAGTTTCCTATAGGAAACAATCTTCAAAACACAATAGGAATTTATTTATTTTCCCGTTGTCCTAATGCGAACACGGTCCCTTTCTTTCGCTTACAAATAAAGAGAAGGTTTAGTCGTTTCTCTGCAACCTCCTACAAAGCTTTCAATTGAAGGAATCACGTAGTTAAAATGCAACAGAGGCCAGTTTAATATATTCCATATATCCCTCTTTATACTGTTTGTATATTTAATTCTACCTGAAGAGAAGAAAAACCAACCATTTCTCCTGAGTCCTTAAAATTATAGGCCACTGAAACTGCACAGAGGCAGACATGTGTTTGCTGGGATGGTTATTGATAATTCAACCACATGTTTTAAAACTGCAGATCAAGTTGAATATATCCCACAAAGGTGCAAACTGTAAAGCTGTCCCACAAGACTTGTGTAGTTTATATGAGGCAACCCTCAAAAGCAACACATTAAAATATTCATTGATTCACCACACATTCAACTAAGAAATTGTAGAGAGTAGAATATTGATCTTGGCTCAGTTAGCAGACCTGTTTATGTTAGAACATTCTAAATGGCATAATCAGTTCCTAAATACAGATTGGACATGTCCTTCATACATTTGTAAATATTCATAATATATATTTTCATCTTATATTTAATCTCTCCCTTTCTCTGTCTCTCTCCATGTAGGACCATGTGTATATATTTGCCAAAGTGCTTGAAAAAAATCATAGGCAATCAAATATTCTCATAAAACCAGCTGCAGAAATGTGAAATTAATAGCACAGCTGTATGAAAAAAGATGCCTGTAATTTGTGAATGAACTCCTCTGCCTGGCTTCAGCTCCTGATGAGAGCCTCCTGTCTTTCAGTTTCCAACTGCTATCAGTGGAGCCATCAAAGGGAGGGCAGAAAGCCGCTAGACACCCATTCTTTGTAACTGGATCTGGCTCAGCTAGGTATTCTAGTTGTCCTTGGCACAGGTTTTTGAATCCTGAGAGCCAGATTGGGCTGGAAAACAGGACAAAAATATCAGTGTACTTGACATGGCCAAACCTGTGGATACTTAAATCCAGAGACTGGAGCCGTGGACAGACAAAACTGATCTTTCTACAAACCTGAAAAAGGCCCCAAGTTTGCAAAAGAGGGTTAGGCTGCAAATGTGTAACTTCCACAAGGTCACTCACTGAGTTTAAAGAGAGAATGGAGATCTGAACTTGAGTCTCCCAGAACTTAGCCTCAAACTCTAACCATTGCACCACACTGGCTTTTGTGGGGTGGCTGCTGTTGAACGGTAGCAAGCCACTGGGCCAGGGTGAGTCCTGCAAGCCAGGTGGTAGAGAGTCACCCAATCATTGCTGCTGGTCCTGTTCCTGATGAGTCCTTGCAGGTCTCGCACTTGTAATAAATAAAGGTTTCGTGCAGGTAGGGTTGCCTGCCAAAAGCCAGCAACCCCCAGGAGACTGAGGAGGAAATGACTTACATAAACAGCACCCCAGGAAGCTGTGACATCACTCTCAGCTGTATAACTGGAAGTGGCATTAGTGCATCCCAGAGTTTTGGGTTATGGGACATATAAAAAGCATTATAGTTTTGGTGAATCCTAGAGCATCCCAAAATGTGGTGACCACTTCCAATAATAGCCTGCCTGTTCCCCCCCACACACACCCTATCGAATGGCAGTGGGATACAGGTGCTGATGGCCAACCTGACACTTTTAGCTACAGGGTTCGCCTACAGGTAGCTTATTCACTGCTCTAGAGTAGCCAGTGCATCCACTACAGGGTTGCCAGGTCCCTCCTGGTAACCAGCAGGGGATGGGGGGAACTTATCAGGAGAAAGAGAAAGTGACATCATAATGCCAGCGACTTCCAGGTGACATTCTGGTATTTGGGCAAAAGGTAAAGGTTTCCCTTGCTCGAAAACCAGTCGAATCCTACTCTAGGGATGCGGTGCTCATCTCCGTTTCCAAGCCGAAGAGCCAGTGCTGTCCAAAGACGTTTCCGTGGTCATGTGGCCGGCATGACTAGACAAAAACTCTATGGTAAACCTGGCTTCTACCATAGAGTTTTTGCCAGAGGCCATTTCGGGGGGGATCGCGGGGGAACACAGTTTCCCCGGGAGAGGTACGGGGGGTGGGGCACATGACAAAGCCCCACCCCCTGCTTCCGGCCACCCCGCTTCCGGCCCTCTTTCAGCCAGGAGGAGGCAGGAGAAGAGGGAGGGTAAGTTGCTTCCTCCCTGCCTCTCCCCACCCCTGCCTGCCTGGGGCCAGGGAGGGCCTTCGCGGGGCTTCCTCACACTCCCGCTGGCCTTGCAGGTCCACCGCCGGGCCCCTCATGGGGCTTGGCAGTGGAGGGGGGTCTGGCAACCGTAATCCTCTAGAAGATAGAGGAAAACATCAAAAGATTGTTGTAGGCTTAAAAAAACTTTTATAGGATTATTCTCTGTGCTACTTAGATGAAAGCTTCATTTCTGGTGCTTTTCCAGAAGTGTGTTTCCAGGTAACATATACTTCCAGTATGTGTAGTTGGTTATTTCTACTTGACACAATTATAAAATCTGAAAAGCTCTTACTACTTTTGCCAAATGTCTGCCGAGCAACAAGATTCTGTTTTTGTCTCCCCCAGTGATAAAATATCTGCTGAGATTGGGGGGGAGGGGGCAAGAGAAATAAGGAATCTCACCCATTAACCTCCCCCCCCCACCAACACAGATATAAATACACATCCTGCTAGATCTTGACATAATTAACTAAATCCACTGAGATTTTGCAACCCATTCCTTAGAGATCCACAGCAGATTGTAGGTCCTCCCTTGTGCAGCCTTATACTTAAACTTTTTGAACTTGTGTGGTATCACTAGTTTAATTATTATTGATAGCAAGAAGAAGAAGGAGGAGGAGGAGGAGGAGGAGGAGGAGGGGTTGGAGGAGAAGGAGGAGAAGGAGGAGGAGGAGATTGGATTTATACCCTGCCCTTCACTACCCAAAGGTGTCTCAGAGCGGCTTACAAACTCCTTTCCCTTCCCCTCCCCACAAAAGACACCCTGTGACTGTGAGGTGGGTAGGGCTGAGAGAACTCTGACACAAAATGCTCTTTTTCAAGGACAGCTGTGCCAGAGCTTGTGACTGACCCAAGGTCACATCAGCAGGTGCAAGTGGAGGAGTGGGGAATCAAACCCGGTTCTCCCAGATGAGAGTCCGCACACTTAACCACTACACCAAACTGGCTCTCCAGAACATTTAGAAGACTCTGACATTCCCACACCCAAGCCATAATCCATCCCCCCTCTACCTCATCTAAAAGGCAACATTTGTTTTTTTAGCAGCCATAAATAGTTTATGATATTTATAGAGAACCAGTTCTGATGCAATTCAAACTCAGCAGAGGGCAGTAGTACCCTTCTAGTTTACTTCAGTCTTATCCCCCCCCTTTATGTTTAAGACTGTGTCTTTAGAGGTTTAGAGATGCCTCCCATTCAGAATCCCCTTTATTTACTTCTGTACAAGATTTCTACCCAACACTACCAATGTAACTTATACTTCTGTTTAAACCACAGAATAAAAAAACCCCAAAGAAGCATAAAAATCGATAAGAATGTCAATTAGATAATTACAAGCAGCCATGAAAAAGAAGCAGAAATGACATATGAAAGAGTCAACACTCTACCTTGAAAGCCAGCAGAGGAAAATACTTTAGTTTAAAACCAGCAAGAAACAAGGCAGGGGAAATGGCTTAACAAGTGCATGGGAAAATAAAAATGTCATTCCTGGTACCCCAAAAGCCAACAGAACTGGATTTTTCTCTCTGAATGAATACAGATTTGACATCTTCTTCTACATAGGGTTGCCAACTGACCAGGTGAGGAAAATGTTCTATTCCTTTTCCAGAGACTTCAACTGCAGGGCACTGAGGTAAACATATCACCTACTATTTGCCACAGGTCAAACTGATATTAGGGGGACTCATTTAAAAGTTGGCAGCCCTATTTCCTAGGGATTTTTAATGGAGGACGCAGACATTTCCCCCATTTCCTTCCTCCCATTTCCTTTCGTACACGGCTGACATTCAAATACCTGACCCACCCACCCATCTCGTTGTGGAAAGC